AAATGGCCTTTTTGTTAAGTTTAAGCCAATGGGTTCAATGCGATTGGAATCGGCTCCAACGTTACTGAGCACCAAAATAACAAACAAGGGATGCCAACTACACAATGGTCAGCATTTTAGCTCCCTCATGTTTTTACGTATAGTCTCTTATAGTCATACTCCTCCGATTTCTATATAAGAGCCACTTAATTAATTTAGGTGGATTAAAAAAACCAAATAAATAAATAAATTATAACATATGTAGCATGACCTTCTTAAAATACAATCATATAACATTAGATTATATATATATATATCAGTTTATAAGTAAGATGAATTAGTTTAGGAGAAAATAGTAAATATAAGAGATAAAATAAATTAATATCTTATACATTTAAAATCAAAACCAACTCTTAACCAATGTGTATATTAAGGATCACGGGAGTATATCACAAAGCCCTAGCTCTGCTTATAATTTGTTTGTTGAATATAGCAAGTGTTGTAATACATAAAAGAAGAAAAGAAAAGGCAGCGAACTGATTATCAGAAAAGAAAGTTAAAGGGAACTATGATAGGACTTGAGTTGTGAGTCACTAACTCACTGTTTATATGTTTCCCAATAAGAATAACTTTTGAGGCGGAAAAAGGGAAAGAGAAGAATAACTTCTATTCTACTATTATATTATCACGTGAAGCTGGACCTTTGATGAGCATATTTCACAATGATATCCGGTGGAGCTTTTATGCGTCAAAAATCTATCTCCATTGCATGTCCTAGAAAATTCCAAAGTTTGGTTTGTTGGCAGGATTTTTATGGAAGTGGAACAGGAAACGGAATAGAAAAGGCGACATGAAAATGCGTGGGAAAGAAAAAGAATGCGAAAGGGAACAAGAAAAAGAATAGGATTGAGTTATATATATATATATATATATATATATGCATGTTTGATATATGACAGAAAAAATTAGTGAAATCAAATCTCGATATATATATATATATATATATGACTTTTATTTGGGACATATGAATTAAGCATGAAAAAGGAAGCAAGAAACATTGAACAGACTATCTATAATGCCCTAATACAAATGGAACCAGATGGGAATCTGGCAATCATATCCCCCCTCCCTTTCCATTTCAAAAGAGCAAATTCCTTCCAGCCAAACAGGCCACAATGAATTTTTTTTTGTCACAATTATATTTTTACTAGAAATTATATTTCTTTTCATTTTGTTTAATGTCAGAAGCTTTCACAATCACGACAAAATCACTTTTTTCTCCTTTTGACAGTGATGGGAGGAATTACCATTATATTGTCACCCCCCCCCCAAAAAAACTAGTAACCACTTTTTCTTAATTCCTTGAAAAATAAAGTATGAGTAGTGCAAAACTTTAGTTAAAAAGAAAGAATGACTTGATCAAAATGACCCTTCTTTAATTTGTTGACTATAAAGGAGCTACAATATAATGATAAGAGCACATTGTGTAAAGACAAGAATAATATCGTAATGAAAATAATACTAATCCAATCTTTGAATTAATTAAGATAAGATGTTGGTACTTTTTCTCATGGAAAAGTAATATTCCCAAAATTCATAAATGATTATTCTTGAATTTATAGAAGTCCATGCATAAATTCATGAGACGACCATTTCACGATTGACTTCATTGCCACTGTCAAGTGTTAATGATTACTTTGATTTTTTTCGATGCGTCAATGTCAATAATAAAATTTATAACAAATTATATTATTTATAAATTTTAAATAATACAACTCATTCATACTACTTTCGATATTCAATATATAAAATATTTTGATATTTAATTTGATCTTAAATATAATACTTTAATTTATTTTATTTCTCATATTTGTTTATTTTTTTTTAAGATGGTCCTTGTAGTAGTTGTAAATATTAAAATTTTTATCAATTGATAGTTCTAACTAATACATATAATTAATAGGTATTTTAAGAAAGACAATACATATTTATTATAAATAAATAATTTAATTAATATTTTCAATCTATTCAAATTATTCAGTTCTTATATTAACCGAAGGTAGAAGATAAAAAATATTGGCCCTATGGCGAATGCTGTTGTAAGTTCTTACAATTTTGTTCCTTACCACTCAGTCTAATCAATACATATTTACATTATTTAATTTCCTTAGCTTCTTTTGAATATTTTAGAAAGTGAGATGACACAAGTGTGGTTAATGAGCTGTAAAGGCCAACTATTCCTTGATCTTTTGTCCCCAAATGTCAATATCTGTAAGCGCTTCTTCTAAAATCTATTAATACTATAAAGATGTCTATACACACAAAAAAAAAAACACATTATTCCCAGAATATCATGAAGTTATAATGTGGTGATAAAAGATGAAGAAACTTCACTTTATGGGGAGTGAAAATCATGTTTTTTTTTAATAGATTATATGGTCCCGTTTTCTCATTTAAAGCGATCCAGTTTGAAAAATGAAGATGTGAATGTCCAAAGGATCAAGAAATAACTGTGTGATAAAGGACAAGGTTGAATAAAATGTGGCCGATTTTTGGAGCACATATTACCCCACCTTATCTCCAAAGAAAATTCTTTTCTGATCATCATTTTGCAAGAATTAATCATCTCAAAAATATTTATGTGCGCGCGCGCATGCTCCTTCTCTTAAAATTTATAAATTTGTCATCCGGTTGGTATGAGGGAAATGAAGGGAAGGAAATGTTAAAAAGTTTTTTAATAAGCTCAATTTAAAAAATTAGAGAAGTGGGGTAAAAAAATTTTGATAAGGAGATGTCAGATAAAAAAGTAGGAAAAAAAAAACTCAATTCAAAGCTTTTAATACACACTTCTTCTTTTTTTTTTAAAAAAAATCAAGCCCATTAAAATTTTCTTTCCCCTCCAATTTCCTCATACCAAACATAGTGTTAGGGGATTGTGTATCATACCTATTATTTCCGTTTAATACACTTCTTCATTTCTCTGCAACATAGCTTTGGTACAAACTGAACAAAGCGAGTAGGCAAACATGTAAACAATGCACTTGACTAGTATTACAATAACAAAACAAAAAATTTGCAAGAAAGGAAACTTGAACATCTCCAATGATGATATATGGTTTTAAATCTTCAAGTGATTAGAACAAACTAGGTAGATATAATGCTTAGATATTGATTAAAAAAATGTGAAGAGATGGGTTGTTATGGTTCTTGAATTATGGGTCTCCCCACTAAGCATATAATTGTATATCCATTACTAAGCAACTTGACATACAATTCAATAATGGGGGACTTTTACCGTAACACATCACTCCACTTTTGAAAGAGTCATCACTACTTCATTAAAAGAAAGGAATGAAGGAAGGAAACAAGCCAGTCATAATTTTTTTTAATTCATATGATTATTAAAGAATGCATAATGCATTATCTTAGATAAAGAAAAAAGTGACTCAATCAATTCATGACCATATCTTGGGATTATAATTAAATGGAGAATCGTAAGAGGACATCGAATAAAGACGACAAGAATAACATAGTAACAAATATAATAATATAACTGAGTCCATGCATTATTAATCATTTAAAATAGGACGTTAGTGTGTTCACACGTGGAAAGTTTCTCTATCTTTCTTTGTCTTGTTACTATAGCAATCAAAATGCCAAGGAGAGGACAGAACGGATGTCTTATACTCCCCGGTATTTATTATAAACTTCAAATAATTATTTTATGGATAATAAATAATTAGTTAAATAAGTTAAAATAATAAATAGGTTAGAAATATAATTTTGTTTTCAAATACACTCTTATAATAAATGAGATAAAGAATTGAAAAAAATGTATGGGAAAATGTAGTAAGAGAATATGATAAAGGAGAGAATAAATAATTAAGAACAAATTTTAAAAAAATACATTAAATATTTAGACAAACCACAAATTAAAACTTATCTCCAAATTTAAAGTTTATAAATAAAACTGGAAGGAGTAGTTATTATGTGCACATATGATCATAACAACAACTGACAAGTTGTTACAGTGGTAATGTCACTTGTTATTGGAGAAATTGCATAAATCCTAATATCTCGGACTAGCACAATATATATACATACACATATATATTAATTATGACTCTTAATAAACTTCATATTTTTATATTGATTTTATGAATTTTACTTTCATTATTTTTTATTTTATATTCTTTTGAAAGGTAGAATATTATGCCCGCCTACGAAACTTCCAATCTTTTGGAAAAGCAATCTCTTTCTGAAAGCAACCGAGGGCTTTTGTGCCCATGGATCATCATGTATGAGGATACCACAGTATTATTCCCAGAATGCTTTTTTTTTTATTAAAAAGAAATCATTTTGTAAAGATATCTTATATGCTACGACTGTGACCATCATGTTTGGCATCTCCCCAGAAAAGTAAAAGGAAAAAGAAAGGGAATCCATTAACAAAGAATGTTTGGCACGTATATTGCAATATAATCAAGCATGGGATGTGGAATATAGTGTGCTTTTCCTCATGATTTGATAAATCTCTTTTCTAGTACATGCTTTTATTTCTTTTCATACCATGCAAGACATAATAATGCTTGAGAAATGAGAGCTTTGCCTTTTACCTCGTGTGAATAGTACGATATATATATGTTGTACATAGGCATTATATTCTACATTAACGACTAATTTTTAGAATATTATCATCGGTATATCAATATATATGATGAAACTTATTATGTTATAAATCATGAATTGCGTGACTTCCACGCACACACACTTCAGATAATTATAATTATTTCCCAATTATAATACAGTCTTATTCATTTGCAACTCAAGTTTTGCTCCCCAAGGTCTCCACTTCTGCAACTCAGTTTTGGATGTTGAATGAAGGTTTGATGTCAATGTTTGGTAAGATTTCATACGGAAATATTATAACTATTGTGCGCTCGTCCATTTTCTCTCGAAAAGGAACAAATTTTTCAAGAGTGATCTAGATGACCTACCAAAAATATATAAAATATAAAATATAAGATATAAAATCAGAAGTTGAGAAAGTTGCGAGAGTAACTCTCGAGTAGACTGGTCGCTTTATTATTGTAATAAGACATAGATGAGTACATCCACACACATCTGAGCACACACTAATTAAAACTACTGCCTCTCACAAACTATTACACAAACAAAGTGGATTATTGGTAACACTGAAATCTACATAGCCATTTTCTCATGTTCAGGGATTACTATAGGACTTCTCACTCTGTGCTTGCCATCAGTCCATGTCAACTCTCCAAATGAAGGCTTTGAAGTTTTGGCTGAACGTATTGCCTGCAAAATAACCATATAGCTTTTCTTCTGGTTTGTCCTCTGAAAGGTTAAAGTTGTTGGAAGAACAACAACCTTAAATCCTCTTGGGGCTTTAATATTTATAGTATATGTGCTTGGAGGCCCAACATTTGTTACTGTACGAGTAACATTGACAGGTTTCACTCCCAGAAAAGGCAATGTGATGGTAGGATAGTTGAAATCTTGTAGTCTGTAAGACCTTGGACATTTGTATGGCCTATTATAATTAATAGCTTCAATTATTCTTTCCTCGTAAAAAGAGAAGCATAACAAGTTGAGGTAATCGGAAGTTTTGAGATCATAAACAAGTCCAGGGTCAATTGCAAGGTTGGGATTCACATATCCTGTGCCGTAATGAAATGGAGTTGCTATGCTACTATCTTGTTCATCCTTAATCGGTCTATTGGTGTTGTCCAGAGTGCTTGCTATAACAACATATAGTTTTTGATACTTGTTAGAGAAAGAGAGAAATCAAATTGTGAACATGCCAACAGATTGTTAATGTATGTCATGTACCTGTGGTCATGATTGCTGACTTGATCATTGCAGGACTCCAATTAGGATGGCGATTTTTAACAAGACCAGCAATGCCAGAAACATGAGGACATGCCATGGAAGTCCCGGTCTGAACAGTATAGTTAAAGCGACGTTGATCTGAATCTAGGTTGTTGGGACTTGCCGCAAATGAATAAGCAGCAATTATACCCTGACCTGGTGCAGCTACATCGGGCTATGAAAATTAAAAAGAAAAAGAAGTTAAGAATTACAATTTATACTTGATGACAGGGGGAATTGATTAGACGGCGTGAGAATGGACAACCTTGAGGATTGAGGGAAGAATTAAGTTGGGTCCCCTTGATGAGAATGCAGAAATCGTTGGAGCTGGCGTTATTGGTATAAATGTCTTTGCATTATTCATGAATGCAAGTGGGTTCCTGCAATATATGCATATATGGAAATGTAGCCCTTTCATCGAAAATATTTTCAGAGAAATCCCAAAAAGATTGGCGGATGAGAAAGGTGCATAATAACTACTTACTTGTTTTTGTCGAAATACGATTCGCTTAGTCCTCCACTCATCTTTTTACCTGCATTTTGAGGAAGATTGGAGGTGTCAACAGGCTGAACATCAGCTGTACGTGTGTTCAATTCCTTATCATTTCGTAAAATCATTTGCAATGCGCCTACGCGCTTTGCTTCTTGGCCCTTGTCCACCGGCAATAGACTCCTTCCTCTTCGGCATATTAATATGCAACCCCTAACTTTGTTAGGATCGAGAGTTCCAGTTTTGCAAAGCTGACTGCAATAATATTCATACTTTAATTAGAATCAAGCTAGTGGGGAGGGAAACATTTGACAGTTTAACAAGCAGAGAGCATCGTGAATTGTGGAATTCATTCTTACGCATCTTGAAATGTTGCATTAGGAAGCCTGGCATTCCCAGCAATGACCACAGGAATTAACCTCTGAGATGTCGAGTTTATGGCAAGACTTGTGCCCTGATTACACCCATGGACCGATCATTTTAAAGATGGAAAACTACCAAAATCAATATATAATTACTATGGGGTTAAATCCAAGTCCCTATACATTTAGGGGTGTTTGGGAATCCTCAAAATTGCTTGAAAAAAAATTACTTTTATGCAAAGTGAGACAAAACTCTTGTTACAAACTTATTTCAAACTTCGTAAAATCACTTAAAAGTTATTCCAAACACCCCTTTAATGAGTTTTGGTTATGGTTCGTATGCTTTTTTGTGGCTGTTTCTCGTCCCTATACTTCATACAATCCAAAATGTTGGTCCCTATAATTTCACGTTAACTTGAACCCGAGCTTAACAGTGTTAACTTTGTTGATGCAGCATTAACACCATTAAGTAGGGTACCATAGACTGACGCAGCTCAGGCATAGGAACCAGAAGTAAAACTTGTTGGAAGTACAAGATCAGAACCAAAACTGGTTAAAAGTATTAGACTTATAATGCGCTTAAAAGAGAAGTGACACGAACCTGAATGATTTGGCCATTACCAAGGGTAATATTATTGCTGAATTCCCTGTCTATGGAGCCAGCGGCAACAGTGAAGATCCAAGGCGCTACATTGCCCACAGTATGAGGTCGTGGTCCGTTATTTCCAGCAGAGGCAACGACTAGGATTCCCCTGGAAACCGCATGGAAGGATCCTATGGAGATCCCATTGGTCAACATGTCATTAACATCAGGCACGACACTCCGACCAATTGAAACGGAGATAATATCAACGCCGTCGTCGATGGCTCGATCAAAAGCACGAAGCATGTCTTCATCAGTGCACTCTTCAGCACTATGAGTACTCCAGCAAACCTTGTACACTGCAAGACGAGCTCTGGGAGATCCTCCCTTGGCTGTTCCATTGCCGTTGTTCAGAACGCTGACGTTTCGCACGAAGTTGCCACCTGCTGTCGACAAAGTGTGGGTCCCATGCCCCACTACGTCACGAGCGGTGACTTCACTTCGAGGGCCAAGGCTCCCATGTTTTATCTCAAAGCTTTGATAGAACGTTTTTGCTCCAATCAGCTTCCTATTTCATGCACACACACATCTCATCCTTCTAGTTTTGTTCAGCTTAGACATTACATATTATAATGTCATATTTTAATTATGGTTAAATGTCATTTTTGCCTCGAAAGTATTCACGAATTTTTTTTTTTGAGCTCAATTGATGCCCCAAAAATGTAATTAAACAAAGAAGCAATGTAGTCCTTTCCGTTAAAGAACTTCCGAAGCACATTGAGTAACAAAATAAACTTGCGCGTACCCAGAGCTCATCCGCAATACTTCCAGCTAAAAATATCCCTAAACTCTTTTAATTATAAAAACTCAAGTTTTGATGGAACCTGTTGCAAAGAGTTCTGTTGGGACCAGACCGACTGTAAAGCTCGCATTTCGATCCTCCACGCCACTTCTTAGGAACGGGACCATAGCCATCATCCCGGAAGCTTTTGGATTCTGGCCAAACACCTATATATATCCAATAAAGCAATTCATTGTATGAGGATGAAAAAAATTATTAATCTCGTTGCAAATGTTTACAGATTTATAAAAACTTTAATAGCTTTAGTTACCGGTGTCAATACTGCCAATAATCACATTTTGACCAAATCTTCCTTTGACCCAAGCTGAGTCAGCTCTGACTCTTCCATTTCTTTCTTGTCCTAGAAACCCCCATGACCTGGTTGTATGCAGCTCATGCGATTTGCCCAAGAACACCGACACTACTCTTGGATTTTCTGCTTCCATTTCCCAACCATTTTGCCTCAATCATCGCTATCAATATTTAATTTATAATATAAAATATAGAATTTACTTAAATTTATGATAGACATATAAGGGTGCGAGTCTCTCACTTCTGATCTCTGCTGCCTCGTCATCTTCCAGTAATGCGGCAAAGCCATTGATGTGTCGGTTATATGAGTAATATATGGCTTCTTTGGCCCTTTCGCGGCTGTCAAATCAATCATGTAACTACTCACATAAGTACTGTAAACATAGGATTCTTTGAAGAAAGAGGGAGGTTAATTATAACATTCAAAAGAATTGAATTAGAGGCTGCTTTGAAATAAGAGAGTAAGGATACAAAAAGGCAGACACGTAACAACCCATTAAGGAAAACAAGGAATGGGGGGTGGGGAATGAATAATAAAACAATTTTAAACACATTTGAGTTATAATAATATTTCTTGTTTCTCTTTATTGGAAAAACATGAGCAGGATCTGTCGGTTGCACCTTTTTTGTCATCCTTGACCCTAATTTTGCTTTTATTCTCTGCTTTTTAAATTAAATCTTATAACCAAAATTAGATATTTTGGAGTGATTATGGGGGAAAATTTACATTCATGTGACACTTGACTCATACAATACAACTCCTAATGTCCCAATTACTCCCTCTATTTTTTATCATATTTAACCTGTTATATATTTACATTATATACATAGATATAGAAAGAAAAATACTTAAAATTACTATAAAAAAATAAAAACTTCCTCATAATTCTCTACAATTACCTACAACGATTTAAGGTGGAAAACAAAGAAGAGAAAGAGAGGGTATTATTGAAAATGGGTCACAAAGATCCATGAAACATGCAGGCACCTTCTTAAGATGGGGGCAAGCAAATCGTGATGAGAATTTGTAGCGGCCTCCATATCAGCAGAGGAAGGCTTTGGACCATGAGAATGTGATCCCAAGTATACAACGTACGACTGCAAGATGAAATTAAGGTGGTTGACGAGCACGACTACGACAAGAATAATACTACTATATATTAACTACTACCTCTGGTTCTAGATATGAGGATTTACTTTGTAGTACAATTTATTCTATAAATTATATTTTACATTTAGGACTAGAGGTTGTAATTACGAGCAAATGATGCCAGATTACCTGTTTAACGGCATAGGCAGGTTGCTGCAGCTGTACGAAGCAGCAGAGCAGAAATGACGAAAGAAGAAGGTGAAACACAGTTAAGCCTCTCATTTTGCTTCAACTGAATGTGCGAGCATGGCGACTCTAACTCGCCTCTTTATATAAACCCATTCTCAGATGTTTTGTGGACGATTTTAACTTTTTTTCTTTTTCTTCTCTTCTTCTTTCGTCCTTTTTCTGAAAAAAAAATTGTAAACAAAATTGGCCTAGTTAACTTAACAATTAGGAGCAAATGAAGAATGTCAATATAAAATACGTAGAATAGAAATAGATGTAGCTTTTATATCTTTATTACGCGCACACTTTTGACTAGACCATATTCTTTCTAGTTGATAGAAGAAAATTTTAGAGAGTTATTCAATATAGAATATAAAAAGATGCATGGAATTATGGATTCACAAGTCATGAACAGTGCAATTTTATCATAAATTGTGTCAAATACATGAAAATAAATTATTATATAATTTCTTAGAAAATCAAGGGCTTCACTGTGAATATGGATGGTTCCAATGTAAATTTTGTCTTTGTTAGGGCCTTCGCTTTGAATATGCCCCGTTTACAAGCCTTAATTACTCACCGATTCAATGTTTTTTTGCCCCCACTCTATACTGTGTCGCTTGCTAGCAATGCAAAGTTCAGTTAAAATTGTTTCATTAACAATCAATGTTGATCATGCATTAGCATAGATTGACGTTGAAATATTTTTGAAACACTATGAGCCATATTAAGCCAAGCGACAGTTTAATATATAAATTGTTTCTGGACAAAAAATTTTCGGAGGCAAAATTGCTCTTTAACCTCCCTTTTTACCAATTGTACACTGTCGTTTTCTTTAAAGAAAGTTTCATGAGTTTGATCTTTGACACTTACTAAACTAAGTCAGGTAGGTCGTAAGGTTCAAAGAATATACATTTATAGCAGTACCGATTCAAAACGTGGAAGGGGAAAAGGGAAAGAGAGGAGGAGGGAGATTAGATATTGAGAGGATTAGAGAAAAGATAGAGAACTCAAAGGGGAGGAAAATTAATATGTAGTTTTTTTTTTTTTTAAAGCAAGATGTATAAGTTTGATGTGTTTAGGTCTATTTATGGTTTTAATCATAACCCAAATATTAAAGCAAATATTCTAGAATAATCTAAAAGGTAACAGCAATAATAATAATAAATAAAAATAATACAATAATTAACATATTCAAATATTCTCCGTCTTCTTCTTTTTCTGATTTCATCAAATAGTTATAATCCTTTGCTAATTAGATCCACACAATAACAAAGTATGAGTTGCCTTCTTATTATAGTCGTTCTAAGAAGTGGAATCCAAATTTCTTTCGTTTGCTTTTCCAAATGAACATGTCATTGGTCATTCATAGTGCGTTATAAAGTATAATGTTCCTTTCTCAAAAGAAAAGCAAATCCTCCAAATGACTGTCCGTACACATCAAACAGTAAACGTGTGTTTTGCACAATGCACAATTTGATATCATTAGCTGCCTTCCATGTTCATGATCTATAAACCAAACAATGTGAATTAATTAATTCTTATAAACTTCATATTACGCGCGCGCGTATGATATTGTAGGAACTGATATGCACATGAAGAAGGTAGATCTAGAGAACCCCATTTCGTGAATCTTTATGTTATCTCCGAGTTGAAGATGTTTAATTTTACCAATAAAAATTGGTCTAATTAATAGAAATTTGGTCCACAATTCATAATATTGTAGCTTCAAATTTCATTATTGATGTGAGGATTTTATTGATACGGGATATACAAATACATAAAGAAATGCTCTTTAAATTCCAAGGCATATATATGTTGTGTATGTAAAGGGGTGTGTCAAAAGTGAAGTCCCACATTGCCCAAGAGAGAGGGAGCTCAAGTGTATAAATATTATCATACATTATTGGGCTAATAAATGGGCCTAAAGGAGAAGAAGCATCTCGCGCACTCGTCAACGGCCCACTAGAGGGAAACACAGTTGAAAACTGGCAATTTCTCCCCCTGCACGTGAATTAGAACAGTACCAGGCACTTTTTATAAAACATTTTTGCAAAATTAAATTATAAAATGGTGTTAAGAGAGCTTATCAGAAAATCCTTCTTTTAACTGTTTATTTTTGTAACAGCCGAAGGTTACTGAATGTTGGGAGTTTTTCAAAGCATGATTAATCCTCCATTAATCTTTAAACCATTTCTCATGGATTAATGCCTAGTAACGTGTGGAATTTATTTCTTAAACATACCCAACATTCATAACCGAAGGGATAATTACAAATTATTGTAGTAACGTATGAAACTAATGAGTTAATCGTGTTTATGGTGGTGCCCAGTGGTTAGGTCCCCGAGGCCTATATAAAGCGATCCAGGACAGTGTGTTTTGCACCCCACTCTTGAGTTTTCGAGCATCTGTTCCTCCTCTGCATTTCTCTTCTTCCCTCTCTGTGTTTCTGTGCTGCTGGGTTATATTTTTCTATTGTTCTATCACCCTGTTTCTGCAGGGAGGGTTCGTTTAATCCTAGGGAATGCCGCACTCACGTTTACCTATGGTGGTGGAATAACTCTTAAGGATAGTGTCTACCAGCACGACTCGAACCTAGCTGATACACACCTCCAGTTTTCTCAACAATCTTAAGAGTTACTATGGAGTCCCGTAACGATGCTGCTGCTGGGAACACTGACCCTACTGTCAACGTTGCCCATGCTCCTGTCTTTACTGCAGTGCCACTACCCAAGCCATTCCCAGATGTCTCCAAGATTGATGTGTTCGATGTAAAGTACTTCAGACGGTGGCAGGAACGTGTGTACATTGTCCTTGACATGCATGGAGTTGCTATTGCTCTTACCCAACCTGAACCCCCCACTGATGCTGATCAGGCCCAAAAGAATGCTTGGGCGAATGCCAACAAGGTTTGTCAACATACACTCATTCACACTTTATCTAATGACTTGTTCGATGTCTACTGTGTATACAAGGAGGCACATAAAATATGGGAGTCACTGATCATGAAGTACACTGTTGAGGATGCTAGAAAGAAAAAGTTCGTGGTTGGGAACTTTTACAAATGGGAGATGGATGAAGAGAAGGATATAAAACTTCAAATCAATGAATACCATAAGCTACTGGAAGAGCTTCGAGCTGAGAAGACAAATTTACCAGATGAGTTCATGGCCAGGGTCCTGATCGAGAAGCTACCAAACTCATGAAATGACCATAAGCAACAACTGAAGCATAAGCAGAAGCAACTTTCACTATTAGACCTAATCACACACATCATCATTGAGGACACAAACCAAAAGGTAATCTAGACAGCTAGAGGAAAGGAGTTGGCAACAAAGGCAAATTTGGTAGAAGCAAAGCCGCAGGATAAGAGGTACAACACTAAACCTAGAAATAAAAACTTTGATTACAAGCCTAATGATTCTAACCCCAAATTCAAGAAAAAAGGAGATTGCTTGGTGTGTGGAAAGCCAGGTCACCACGCAGCTCAGTGCAGGAAAAGGGCTGGTAAAAACAATTACTGTAAAGGTAGAAATCCTCCTAAGCCAAACATAAATTTTGTAGAAGGAGATGACGATGAGATTATTGATGTTGTCTCACAAGCCCTTGTGATCTCCGATGTGAGGAAGTGGGTGATAGACTCAGGTGCTACTAGGCACATCTGTGCGAATAAGGACATGTTCACCTGCTTTGAAGAAGGAGAAGACCATATTTATCTAGCTGATTCCTGAACCACAAAAGTTCTAGGAAAAGGAAAAGTTGTCCTGAAACTCACGTCTGGAAAGACCTTAGCACTGAATGAAGGTCTATACGTGCCTAATGTTAGAGCTAACCTGATTTTTGTGGCTCTGTTAGGGAAAGCTGAGGTTAAGGTGTCATTCGAATCTGACAAGATCGTAACGACAAAGAATAATGTCCTTGTTGGGAAAGGCTATTGTAATCAAGGATTGTTTGTATTGAACATTGCTGAAATGAATGGAAATGCTTCTTCTGCGTACTTGCCTGTGTTCTATATTGATTCCTTTGATATGTGGCATGCTAGATTAGGATACATAAGTAAATCTTATATAAAAAGGCTTTATCATCTAGGGCTAGTATCAGGGATTAAAAATAATATTTTTAATAATTGTGAAGTATGTGCAGAAACAAAACAAACTAAAAAATCACATTTTCCTACTCAAAGAGAAACTGAGTTGTTATCCTTAATACACACTGATCTAGGTGATTTGAAACAAACTGAGACTAGAGGTGGTAAAAGATATTATGTGACTTTTATCGATGATTTTTCAAGGTATACAAAGTCATATTTGTTAAGAAATAAAGACGAGGCTTTTGAAAAATTTCTTTCATATGAAGCTGAAGTAGAAAATCAATTAGACAGAAAAATTAAATGAGTTAGATCTGATAGAGGAGGAGAATTTTTACAATTAAATTACTTTTGTGAAAAAGAAGGAATTATTCATGAGGTAACTCCTCCATATTCCCCAGAATCTAACGGTGTTGCGGAAAGGAAAAATAGAACACTAAAAGAAATGATGAATGCTTTACTTGTAAGCTCTATTGCACCAGATAACCTTTCAGGAGAAGCCATTTTGCCTGCTTGTTTTCTACAAAATAGAATACCCATAGGAAAACAAATAAAACTCCTTATGAATTATGGAAAGGTTTTGCTCCTAGTCTTAATTACTTAAAAGTGTGGGGGTGCCTTGCAAAAGTTCTATTACCTGACCCTAAAAAGAGGAAAATAGGTTCTAAAATTGCTGATTGTTTATTTATTGGGTATGCTCAGCAAAGGACAGCTTATCATTTTATGGTTTTAAAAAGTGATATTTTGGGTCAAAATATTATTATTGAAACTAAAGATACATAATTTTTTGAACATATTTTTCCTTTGAAAGCTGAGCGTATCCCTAGAATTGTTGAAAATTCTTCTGAGCAAAACTCAAATGAAAGTGTAGTAGAAAGTTTACGGAGAAGTAAAAGGCAAAGAAAGGAAACCTCCTTTGGAGATGATTTCTATACTTATTTAGTACAAAATGAACCTAGAAATTTTT